TGATGTCCACTTTTGGTCTTAATACATTTATCCTCATGCCAGTTGTTTTTATTTTATACCTTTTTGTGCATTTGGTGCACAACCGTACCCTACAGAGAATAGGAATAGAATAAGTCGAATCAAATTCATAAAGTATTTGTGATTAGGTTCATAGTTTAAGTCAAGTGGAACACTAATTAATGTCATATATAAGATAATACATCAGGTGTATACATTTTGGGGAGAGGCATATTATTATTTATTATTCTATGTACTTTTCCCTTATTACTTCGATTATTATTATTAATATCATTATTATTATTATTACGACTCTCATTCTGAATCTTTTCCACTTGATCTACTTGACATTTTAAACCAAAAATTATTCATGTGTATACTTTTTATCTTTATTTTTACAATATTAAATTCTATGTTATCAAATTTCACACCATGTTACGTAACATTTTACATTCGTCTATTAATCTTACAATTATATGCCTCTCCTCAAAATCTATACACCTGATGTATTATCTTATATATGACATTAATTATTGTTCCACTTGACTTAAATTCATAAAGAGCTATAAAATGTTAGGTTTAATGGAATGTAATGAGGATCGAGTAAAGACGTTATTAGAAAATGAATGAGATAGGACATTGTGAAGTGGTATTCAAAGATCCGAAAATGGATAACAAGTTAATTTATAAGATGACCCATAAATCTGCACAGAGCCCACATGGTCGCATCTCAACAATAGGCTGAGCGAATGGTATATATTTAAAGGCAGAAGCATGATCTGTCTAGGCGTTCATTATTATCTTTTTCAAGATAAAGATCTAAGCCCTCAGAAATATCTGAAATACCTCCAGCTGATGTGTGGGCTCGATGCTGATGTGTGGAGTCGCAATCCGATCCGCACATGATTTGCTCTACCCGAAGCCAGCTTGTTGTGGTCAGGGTTCTGCATCCAATACATCTTTTACTTTCTCGGAATTATTCTATCTATCATTTTTTTCAAATTTTATTCCTTTGCATTCCAAGTGGAACATAGGGCTTCAAGTCTGAGCAAGCCTCACATTCAACCTTCCCTTCTTTTCGGACTTACAAGCGGCGAAGGGAAGTGAGGGTGTCCGCTGGGCGGGAATTGAACTCCTGACCACGTAAATAGTTGGGAAGCGTCTTACCGCTGAAGCACAGGCACGTGGGAATGACATTATACACAGTGTTAATATTATTACTGCTGTCAAGGAAATGCTATACAGAAACCTGATATGTTTACTTACTAAGGTGCGTGACCATCCATTGTCCTTTGAATATGCTGCCCGAAGCTGATAAAGGGGCATTTTTGTTGTGAATGTTGTAATTGATATGAGTATTCGGTAATTTGTTGTCAGTGTAAGAATGAAGTTTTAGTATGTGTTTCGGGTAGGGCTGGACTTATTTGTCACGTACTCTAGAAGTTACGCTTGGAATTTTTTTTGCCAATAATTTTTAATAAAATTGTATTATATGTTATCTAGATTGAGGGAAATTCCCACTTTTTGGCTGGTTATGTTGGTGTCCGCCTCATGTGATCTGACTGCGACACACTTTTAGCATATTGGTTGCAATGATTAGTGTTTCAGATGGAATGTATCAAAATGTCGGTGTAATGAGGGAGATAGGATAGTTAGAGGGTAATGCCATTTACACCACTCATTTACTCCATGTAGAAGCTGCATCTTTCGGCATAGTATCATTCAATGAAGACTTCATGTCTCAGGATATCAGTACAGCCTATTTTCGTGTGAAGAACAGTCTTTTTTGACAAAATAATTCTCTCAATACTTGGAAATCACCTGCAAATGTTATCAGAATCGTTGGTGGGAACCTAAGTTGTCATTTAGATGTGCTTTTCACTTTATCTGTGGTTGGACAGGAATTATGGTAAGTTGAAAGGTTATCTCTAAATGGATTTCATATATATTGGCACTGGTTGGTGCAGTGTGCTATGGGTTATGTTAATTAAATGTACAAAAATATCTCAACTATAATAATATTGTGCCATTGTGTACTAAGCTGATTGATAGGATAACAAACGAAGGTGGTTGTCACGATTATTGCAAGTACAGTGCAGTGGAGAAGGCAATTACTCGTTTAAGTTTCCTTGTTGTTCCAATTAATGCACTAAATCATTACACGGTATGATTATACGCATGAGTCGTGGTGATTACTAGAACTGAATCTATTCAGCTTTATTATCATTAATATGAATTTATTCTCTTTTACAATTTCCACTGACTGTATACTTAATGCTACAATATTTTTGATCACCAATAGTGGAGATGAATTTCTCCTGAGATTTCCATTTAGACAAAGCAGTACAGATGCTCTATGACGATTGAATTTTCTAGTTTGCATTATATGACATTATTATCCTCATCAACACAACAGGTCTGTGTACTTTACAATAGTTGAAGTGTTTCACTATGTTGTTAGCACTGTGCATAGCTGTCTAGAGTTGAGGCATGTTCAGCTTATATTTGATGCCTATAGTCTCCTAAATGTGAAAATGTGATTTCTGTAGGATTCACAAAACCTTGTGGACTAGACATTACTGAGATTGTGGATTAACTTCTAAGTTATACACTTGCAATACTTCATTTCATGTAAAAGTGTTTAGTGTGAAGTTGATCTGCAAGTAAGCTTGATGAGAGAATGACGCCTCAATAGTATGAATGTTTCGGAGATTGCCTTGAAATTTGCATATAGTCCTCAAATGCAGGAAAACATATGATGTATATTTATGTATACGGCGTCAACATAAATATCAGCTGTAGACTACAAATACATTTATCTCCCTGAGATAATACTTAGTTTTAACAGAATGATTGTATTCATATTGTATGCTAATATGTAGAATTATCTCTTGTTAACTTCATGTTATGCTAGTTCTAACATGTACTTTATTTTTTCCAGGTATACGGAGGTTGTCGAATATGAAATCAGCGGAAACATCATTCGGTCAAACTAACTTTATTACCCTTCATCAGAATTTTCTTTTGTAAATTAATCAAATGTTTAATATACTCTTGATTACTTCTTCCTGTAGACTTCTTCAATTCCTCGCTATACTATGTGCTTTTGTAATAAGTGAATTAGGAATAATAAACGCTAAGCTTAGTTAGTGGGATGGAAATTCACTGTAGTATTATGAGAATGTTACTTTAGTCATTAGTAGGATTTCGTGTCTGTTTCTACACAATAGCACATTGTAAAAGCTAAGTGGGATTTAGCAAGTTGAATAATAATTCTGTACTGTTTGATACTCTAAAGTCGCCTTATCTAGCCAGTTGAAAGTCTGTATACTGTTAAACGCCAAGTATGTAGTACAAGTAAATGTAGTAACTTAGGCTTGATATCTACTTCACTAATCTGTTAATATGCAGTGACATCATCAAATAGACTGTTCACTTGACGATCAGCTAAGAAACAATTTTTATTTATTTTAATATGCCGTTGAATCATAGGATGTTATCTAGTATCCATCATTTCTGTGATCAAAAACTGCGGTATTTGCATGTCTACTTTATAGATGTTAAATAACCTACGCCTGTATGCATCTAATTACCTCCAGTATTCCCTATTCATTTGGTGTGTGTAAACTAAACAAGTCTTTCATAAATTCTCCCATAAATGCCAAACTTTCTAGTGTTACAAGCGTTAATAAGACCTGCTTCCTTTGTTTCAAATCAAATGAGGTATATACGAACTAAGGGAAAGTTACTCTTACTTAATCTTTAACCCTCACTCAGAGCCTTTAACGATCCCAAACAGTTCTCCTATAAACACAGTAGACGTACTTTAGATGCAGCTGCAGTCTTGCTTCACAACATTTTCTCCAGTATAGACAATGGGGCTAAATTCGCTGCACCTTCCTAGAGTACACATCTGCTTTCGACTCACTACCTAGAGATATTCTGTTAGATAAGCTTGCTGAAACTCAAACTGAGTATTGGATTGTTAGATGGCTTCATTCTTATTTATCAGGGAGAAAGCAGTACACTGTAGGTCAGGGGGAAGTCGTCCATTACCAATTGTATTTTTGTTTGATGAACTTATTGTACGAATGCATACGAGAAGAACTTTTTCAAACACGCGGACGATCTAACTACTTCAATGTCTGTTAACTGCCAGCTACACTGTACTAAGATGAACAGCTCTCTATTAGGAGTGGGAAAATGCTCTTAAACTAAATCCTTCGAAATGTCAGACTGTTATTTTCAGTTTCCGATGTAAACGAAAGTTAGTTGAAGGTGTTAATTCCTATGACCGTTGCAAAATTGATAATAGTGATATGGAAATGAAGTCTGACTTTAAGTATCTCGGACTGATTCATCGCAGCGTGTTGGCCCTAAATGTATGCCACATGCAGGCATAATGTTTATGAGCTAGGTATGCAAATCATGGTAGACGCTTGTACGGTACATTCATTATTTATAAAACTAACTCGCACGTAAGAACTATGGTTTGATCAGTTATACAACGTTTAATACATTTAGACACAATTAACCTACGATGCTTACTTCTATGACGCATTACCTAAAACTACATTAATATAGTTTCCGCTGAAGGTTATCTCCTATAGTTACCACCTTAGTGGGCAACTTAGCGTTATCTTTGAATAACGAAAATTCCGAGAACTTTCTTGGTAAAAAGATCGTCCCTTACTCGAAAAAATTAAATATACCCTAGTCTCCACAAAAACGTTCAGAGGTATTCATCCTATCACCGCAAACGACTCACTATTTGCAGCCATTTAAAAAGTAAAAATAAATTTACCGATGGCAGCGTGCTTATGATTTCTAGATATCATAATGTACCATGAGGAAAACGCTATCTCCATGCGGTTATAAGTCAGATGTGCGAAATTAGTCAGAAACACAACAACCACGATTCTCAGTCACATAACATCTTACTTCGCTACCTAATCGTATAGTCGTATTAACGGATGTTTCGCCGAAGAAAAGAAGACTACTGGTTCAAGGATAATTTATTTAGTTTTTTTTAAGATCGTGAACATCTGTGTCTATAGTCACGGAAGAATCACAACTTCGAGGAAACCACCAATCGTAGACTACAACCCGAAACGTTATTCTTCCTAATTAATGTCTTACCTTTAACTGGGATTGTTTGTACACTCACCAGATCACCGTATTTTATCCGCTTTGAAAACCGTTTTGCAACCCATCGAATGGATGTTAACACTGGCTCTATTACGGGTAGTCCTAGTTCATTTATTGCGATCTAGTACATCAAGCAATAATAAGCATAAGTAACACTTACCCTTGAGGATTCCAGGTTCTTTCAGTTCCCCCAAAATATACACAAGCACAACAGATTCATACTTTTCATGCGGCTCAACCTTATTTGGCTTAGATTCTCTCACAATATATTTTTTTAAATGATAGCAGACACACGGATGGTATATTCACATTCTCAAAAAGCTTCAAAGCTTTTTCAACTCCAACCCAGGTTCTAAATTCTCTGGGTTTAATTTGTTCTTCACTTGAGGGCGTGGGGTAGTAGAAATAGGTGTCTGATTGTTGGCGACTTTAACGCTCCACATATTAATTGGGGGGAATTAAACTCCACTAGTTTGTATACCTGTTTCAATAGGGAGCTCACATTGACAGTGCTTGAATGTGCACTCGTGCAACATATGCATGCACCAACACGGTATCACCCTGAACATGATCCATCTACTCTAGACTTGGTATTGACACACCAGAAGGAGGACGTTGGTAACATTAGGTGCCTCCCGCCGCTTGGCAGCAGTGACCACATAGTCATTGCTTTTACGTTTAGGATTCATTCTCTCATGCACAGGCCAAAATCTGCTCGTCCAAACATTTGGAAAGCGGATATACAAGGAATCCGGAACGCAGCAACTGTGGTTGACTGGTCAGTTGATACAAGTCAGACTGTCGAGGAAGCTTGGGTAGGATTTAGGAATACACTAGATTGTGTCACTTCACCTTTTATACCTTGGTACACTCCTCGAAAGCCGTCGCATGAACCTCCTTGGATCACTAGTGAAATAAGGATGTTATTAAGACGGCGAAAGAACTTATGGGACCAATTTGTTATGACAGGAAGGGAAAACTTCCAGAAAGACTACCGCAAAATTCGAAACCTCTGTAAGTATGCGATTAACAAGAGTCGTATAGAGTACGAGAGACGATTAGTACTAGATTGCGTTCATTACCCGAAAAGGTTTTACTCGTATATTAAACGTAGGACTAAAACTAGCAGTGGTATACCGTCACTCATAACCATTAGTGGAGAAGCGGCTGAGTCAGACGAAGGGAAGGCTGAAAACCTCTCTGAATACTTCTGTGACGTCTTCTCGTCTGATAGTACCACCCAGGGATATGGCGAGGTCACTGCCATCGCCACTCAGATGCCCTCAATTGTGGTAGAGCACACAAAGGTTCTGAAACTACTGTCTAAACTGAAGCCAGGTAAATCACCTGGGCCGGATGGACTCCACCCTAAGTTGTTACTTTCCTTGGCGGATATAATATATATTCCGCTTACGGAGATTTTCCAAATGTCTCTGACGCAGGCTAAGCTACCCAGGGACTGGAAGGATGCCATTATAAGCCCTATCTTCAAGGACGGGGATAGGCAATTGGTATCTAACTACAGGCCGGTAAGTCTGACATGCATTATTGCAAAGGTACTGGAAACTATTATAAGGGATCAACTATTAGCTTATGTTGAAACACATGGCTTGTTGGCTGTGGAACAGCATGGATTCCGACCAGGACGATCCTGCTTGACAAACCTACTATTGGCTAGGGAAGACTGGGTTGAGGCCAGAGATAGGGACCATCTGTTGGATGTGGTTTTTATTGATCTTAGCAAGGCGTTCGACAAAGTATCCCACTTAGGTCTCCTTAGTAAACTGAAAGGTTTCGGACTAGACCAATGCCTATGTGAGTGGTTTAGAGATTACTTAATGGATAGAAGGCAGAAGGTTAGAGTTAATGGTGTACTATCAGGATGGAAAGCAGTATCCAGTGGAGTGCCCCAGGGAACTGTATTAGGTCCTTTGCTATTCCTATTATACGTTAACGAATTACCAGGGATTCTTTCTTCATCTTCATTATTATTTGCAGATGACATTAAGGTATGGAAAACTGTAAACAATAACGAGGATAGGTTGGCCCTACAAAATGACTTAGATAAATTAGCTGAGTGGTCAAGCCTATGGAGTTTGGAAATGAATGCTAGGAAAAGCGCGGTAATGCACTTAGGTCAGAAGTCTTATACGTCGTACTCCCTAGGGGATGCAGAACTACCTGATGTCAAAGAACAGAAGGACCTAGGAATCATTGTCAGTAACGATTTGAAAACAACTGCAAATTGCAGTGCAGCCGCAGCTAAAGCTTTTCGAATGCTATGGGCAATTCGAAGGGCTTTCAAACGATTAGACGAGGGCATGTTCCAAATACTCTACGCAACATATGTCAGGCCTCATCTAGAATACTGCATACAAGCGACGAGTCCATGCTTCAAAAAGGAGGCACATATTCTGGAAAGAGTACAGAGAGTAGGAACAAAATTAGTTAGTGGTATCTCACACCTTCCTTATGATAAGAGGATGGAGCATTTAAATCTCTTCCCGTTATCATACCGAAGGAAGAGAGGCGACTTAATTTTGGCATACCGTATACTTAAGGGTGATTTAGGAACTGACCTTTCTAACCTTTTCTCCCCTTCTAGGATACATTTACGGGGTCACCGCAAAAAGGTGCTCAAACCAAGGACGATTAAAATACGTGCAGAATTTAGATTCTCTCACAGAGTGGTCAACGATTGGAACTCCTTACCTGATTCAGTAGTATCAGCTCCATCGGTGAACGCTTTCAAAGAGAAGTTAGATCTCTGCAGAGATATACTTTGCAAGGATTAACACAGGCCACAAGAGCCTTCTATCCTTATCATCTGAATCTGAATCTGAATCTGAATCTGAAAACCTTGCTAATACCAACTCTGATGGTGCTCTCTTCAACAGATTCACTCGCAAATTGTTGTATGCTGCAAACATGAACGAAAAAGACACTCTTTTTCCAGATTTCTACATGTTATGCAAGTAACTGAGCCAAAAATAGTAACGGCAACCAACTAATGGACTGGAAACAACTGCTTCTGACAGCCAAACGGCGAAGTTTAAGAATAGGGTCCCAAGCGATGCGAACACACAATGACCTTGAGCCGACCAATCAGAAAATAGGACGATTTTTGCATAAAATTTTACGTATATTTACACAAAAATGCATGAAAAAAAGATTAAACGGATTATATTTCTCTGATATGACTTAAAAATACTTTCCAGTTGCGATGAAGAGTAACAGTTGCTAATTTGGACTAGTTTCTGTAGATGTATTCACCAAAGAGACTGAAGGTGTGTTGTTTTGAGAATGGTTCATCTCTCTTCTATTGCTGTGTAGTCCTCTCCTAAGCCCTCGGTTTAGTTACTATGGTTCTAGTAAGAGCGTTGGCGACTACATACAAGGGAAATAAGGATAACAAAAGAACTTGAAATAAACGAAAAATCTATTCCTAATCGCTACCCTAACCCTAACCCTAAACCCTAAACCTAACCCTAACCCTAACCACAATACTCGCCTTAACCCCTATCCTAACCCCAACGAGATGTTAACACATTGTCCAAACAGTAATAAAAGTGTTATCTGGGTGAAACTTGCTCCTTATTTGATGAATAGGGTTGATATTTCAGCTATGATAATGACAGGAACCGTTAGCCAATGACTAGCATGCGTTCAAGGTCATTTGAGCGTTGAAGGTTTTGGGACCCTATTCTTAAACTTCGCCAGCCAAACATCTTCATGTGCACAATTTCAAAACCCTCTACACAGTACTAATTCATTAACAGCTGAAAACCAACTAAAACACTGAAAGCCGCATGAATGCAAGGTATGAAAACAACTACACCGAAATGAATGCACTGGCCTGGTAGTGAAAACTTTCGAAACCAAAGAAATAATTCATTTTAACAGCAACGGAAACAAAAAATGAGGTGAAACGCAACATTTGTGAACGATACGCAACAAGATAAGTCGTGTATAACGGCAGGATAAACGGAACAACAAACGCGTCAACGAACAGCTACGGAACTGCGATCCAACATGGCCGACTAAAATGGACGAAAATGACCTTCGAGCGTCTCACTCCACCAATGACCTTGATAAGTTACGGATAATTTCAGCCTTCGGGTAGTCATCAGACCATAGCAAGTTTTGTGCAGACATCGGCACATTCTCCCTACTAGATGATACAAACGATGTATGAGTGAGTTCTGTTGGATTATTTGACCTTCTGAATGCAGTCTGTGGTCGATGTTTGGGAGATTTTTTATAACTTTCAGTTGATGGAACATTAGGAGGGGGCTGGCTAACAACGGGTTTACGTAGTGGATGAGCAGAATGATACTACCTCGCCGTGCTGTTTGTCTAGAATGGATATAATTGGCTTTCCAATTGACACCAATTAGGCCTACACCTAGGAGCTCGGCCTATCATATTTAACTTTCTTTTAGAAAGATGGCCTAGAATTGTTTTTGTCTCTATCATATCAAAGGGCTTTCTTGCTCCGGGTTCAGTATTGAATTTATTTACTTCCTTTTTCCCTCTCTTATGATCAACTGGTTGATGATGGCTAACAGGGCATTCAACACATGCCATGTAGGGTTTCTGTTGCCTGAAGACCTCATGCGCTTTAGTTTTCTTAATGGAGATGGGACGTTGGTCATGACGCCTAGAAAACTTGCTAACTTGGCCAGCTACATTCGACTGGTACTTCACAGTGGATGGATTGTCAGATTGAGGGGCGACTGATTTATAAGGGGATGGTTGGAACACCAGTTTGATGGGTTTTGATGTTTCCTGGCTCTTGACGTTTGTGTCAGTGTGCAAACTATGTATTTCATCATCATGATCTGTTGGCTTATCTATGCCTACAATTTTCCAGTGTCAGCAACTGTCAATGTAGTTGAAGATTGAACGATCAATTCACGGTTGTTTGCTCAAACCCAACTGCATATTTTTGGCATGAGTCACCGTTCCATAGTTCGCTGTCCGTTGGAAAACAGGGAAGATCTGTCAGAGGTATCATTGCGATTTATTGTTACGACATTTATTTTTAGACTTTGTGTACAATAACCTTATGGTTGCCTCTGTATTGGTGCAAGAATAAAAGGTTCTTGAGTCACCAATTTGTGTTCTGGTTTTTCGTGATGGTTATTGCTCATAGCTAATGAAAGTCTTCTAAGCACAGCGTGAGGTCCAGTGTAGTAAGTCCTGGACATTGACAGCATCAGTACCGCTATATAATACTTAGCTAATATTTGTCTGCGCCTACGAAAATTTTTGATGCATGCGGTCTACAGGTATTTCACTAGACGGAATAAAGCATGGAACATCATCTACGGCAGTCCCATTAGAGTTGTTAGCAACCAGTGTTCCTGAGCGGCCTCGTCTTTGCTATGATGTTAAATCAGGTGTAATCCTGATGTTAGTGTAGGGTGTTTGAGAGCTTATTATCTTATTAGATTTCAGAAAATTCCTGGATTCTTCAATCGACCTGAACTTGAAAAGCACCGGACATGAGTGGTTTGCAGATTTCCTACGAAGACGCAAAACCTGACATTCTGTCAACGACATATTACAAGCCTTCAGACATGAAGTTTTAAGTTTAGCAATAGGCTCTCTGTCCAGAATGTTATAAGCCAAGACGTTATGTGAAGACATAATCCTCTTAGCAGCTTCTTCAGCTAAATAGTCAGTTATACGCTCGGATTTGATAAGTGATTCAAGACAGGTGTTTTGTGATGGGCCAGACAGTTGCGTGAGAGGCATAATGCTGTCGAACTTGCTCTGTAGTTTTGCTATTGACTTCCGAAGTGTCAGTAAATCATTTTTGCTACAAGCCGCATTCTCTGTCAGTCCCTCCATGATATCAGATACCATAACCCTGGGTGTGTCTGGTGTAAGAAGTGTAGAATCGCCAACGGAGCTGAGGCCTTCAGATGGTCGACGAGTATTAGATCTCAGCCTCTTAACAGTACTTACGCGTTTCATAGACTTAACCACTGTAAAAACAAGAATTTTCATAATTTCCGAGAAAAGTCTTGAGGATATAAAAGTAATAGCTGTATTATAATAAAAATAATATATACTCATTTTGTACATGAGGGACGCCAGTTTACAGGCATCATCAATATGATAAATTACATATACGATTAGCAGTCATACCTGATAATAATGTTTGATAAAATACATATTTTTTCCTACCTGTGTAGGACACATCAAATGTACAGGCATGGATAAGCATTATATAAATTTCATAAATTTGGTTTATGGTTAAACTACATGGTTGCTGAAGTTTTTGTATTTGGTTTGTGGGAACAATAGGATAACCAGTCATTCAACAGTGCACATCCCATTGACAGAGTCGAATAAGTTCTTCGACTAATCCCCAGTCTGTATATTTGTAATTACGACATATTGAGCTTCCTGAATCTTGTTTGTTTCCTGTATTTAGTGGTGAGAAAAACAGAGAGCAGAGTACCATTCTATGGTCACTACTGGAAAATCGATTACCAACATACGTGGATACTGGGATTGTGTCATGACAATAAACAAGTTCCAACATGTTGTCACCACGAGTAGGTGTCTGGACGTGTTGTTGCCATCCATAACAGTCGATAGTGGCAAGTAATTCGTCGAAGCGTTGGGGGCCGGAACTAGTTAGCCAATTGACTTCTGGCAGATTGAAGTCCCCTGCAATCATTTTGTAATTAGCACTAAACAAGGAGGCGTGTGCAAACGATTTAGCTAATAACGCATCAGTTTCTTTTGTTGAGCTTGGTGCTCGATAAACACAGTCTATGAGAAGTTTGTACTTATCTCCATGTAAGACAACCCAGAGTGACTCAGGTACATTATTCATTGTTTCATCTTCCACCTTACTGATTACAAATGAGCTATGTATACATATGAGACATCCTCCACCACGCTCGCAATCTCTATTTGCACGGTGTACAGTGTAATCATCGATACCTATGTGCACATCAAGTACAGAGGATGAGCACCATGACTCAGTAATCTGAGCTACAGTAGGCTTGGCGACTAATAATGATGTCCTTAGTTCAGATATCTTATTGATGAAGGAACGTGCATTAATTAGCAATATCGTGAATAAGTCACGGGATACTACAAACTGGTTTAAAATGTCACCATAACCCAAATCTATTTGTGCGTCAGCACCGCAAGAATTTATGAATGATAGGGGGTCGGACTGGGTGTCTGTACATCGGGGTTGGAGTGCAATGAGGTGGTCCTAGGTGCCATGGGTCGTACCAGTGATTCGGGACACCTGGAAAACTTACCATGTGTTCCTGGATATAAGGGTAGTAGGGGTTGTGCCTAGGGTGACGGTTAAAAAGCATAGCATCAAAAGGTCTATCCATCCAACTGCTATTCGTCATACCGGTACACACCTTCGGGTTGTTTTTATAACTTAAAGTGAATTGTGAGGGGAGGTGCTTCGGCTGCAAGACTTTAGGAGTCTTGGAGCCTGGCTTTCTATAAGGTGGAGCATGCGGAACACCTCCAGATATACTTATGTTTCGAGAGGAGTTTTTCGTAACAAGTGATGGTTTGTTGGCATTCTTACTCTCAGCAGGCTTATTGAATACAAAGTATTCTTCCCCATCATTAGTCTCAACCCTGCGAAATTTGTTCATCGTGGTGGGGTTACTACGTTTGGAGGGAGATTTCTTAGAACAACTTGTAGAAGTTCTAGTCATTTCAACATCTTTCAATGAGGCTTTATTTACAGGGGTACTGGTATCTAAAACAGTTCCTAGTTCCATTGGCAGGTGTGGTTGTTGTGTAGTCTGCTGAATGCTAGTTTCAGCTCTAGGTGTCTGTTGCTGTGCACGATCCTTATT